AGCATGGATAGCCTCTTTGCAACAGGTCGACAACTTCCTGGCCTGCACGGTGAAGTCTGTCTTTTTGCTGCATGCGCGGCCTCCAGTCAGAGCGCCTGCCTGGCAAGCCTTGGACACAGAAACCGCATCCCGGGCAGGGATGGACATGGAAGCCTACATCGATTCGAGTGGGCGAAGCTATCTTATGTTAAATTCGTGTTCAATCTAACAAGCTCTGCACTACGAGCAGCCGCGAGCACGAGCAGAAGTCCGCGTTGCGTGTAGCACCTTTGGCCACTTCGAGGCGGCGCTCCTGTGCAGTGGTCGAGGGCGCGGATGTAGGTGAGCCACCCTCAATCCGGATGACACGAGCAGCACGTGTCCTGCACCAACTTCCACAAACATGGTCCAGTAGAAGGCTCGAATCCTGAGCACGGCATATCTGTCCTGCTTGCATGAGCTAGAATTCTTTTGGCTCGTAGCTGATGCACAGTTCGCCGGCCCAGCTGCTGTGCATCACCAGCACGGGATTGCTGCTCTGGGGCCCAGCACAATGCTCCTTGAAGTCCTTGGGCTTGCAGGGGCCAGCAGGCCCTGGATCTCCAGAAGGCGAACAGGACTGTCTACGTGCTCTATACAGAAAAACCACTCTGCAGTCTTGTCGGCAAGACTCCAAGGGCATTGCGTCCTTGCGCTGGTGTGGAACCACGCGTACCTTGCATGGCCAATCGCAACCTTCGACTTGCTAAAGCCACGGTCGTTCAATGCTGGCGGCTGTGTTCTCTACTTTGGAACAAGCTGCTCGCCCGCTTCTTGCCAGTTCCAGAATGTACAAGCCCACAGACACGTCCTCCCTATAAGGAAAAGGATCTATGCGACCTTCATACAAGGCAGTACCAAGCGGGAGAACCACATCCTCAGATAAGGCATATGCCATACCACGAGCATAGGGTGGATAGTACCTTGGCAGGCAGCTGGGCCAGGCCCCGGTGAGACACGCGGATGCCTGAAAACCCGAGAAGTCCGAGAGACTGCATTGGATAAACCTCGGTCTGGCAACGCCTCACGGCTTCACAACTCGATAAGCGACAATAGAGAAGTATCAGATGCGTGCTTCCGGGCAGCTTCATGGGGGACAAAATACTTGTCGGATGCATTTCTGTTTGGCTCCACCAGTGCCATGACCTTGGCTGCGTGGGGTATGATTCGATGCCATTTGCCCTCATCAGGAAACCAGTCAGAATGCTGAAACCATCTGGGCTGCATGGCCCCAAAGCAGACCTGCTGCAGGAGGGAGCTCAAGCATGTTACACGAAGCATCTTGGCAAATCCGCAGTTTCGTTACAGCCTGCATTCTGTGCAAGTGTTTCTGTAGGCTACTGATGCAGCTCCACAACTGGCCTACGGGGGCACTCGCCATAATGTCAGCTGCCACAGCATCGATGTCAAGGAAGGCATCGTCATCACACTTGATGAGGAAACGCAACCTGTTCCGAGCTGCACATGTGCGAGCACCACGCGTGTTGCAGCATAGCTGACACATCCGGGGCCACGAGACTGCCTCCCAGGGCCACTGTGACCAGGTTGCGCATGGCCCTGGCAAAGACAAGTCGATGTGTTCTTGCATCCTGCTCAAGCACCAAACATGTAAGTCTACTTCTGTATGTGATGGTTCGGCGGCCTTGAAGTAGTCGGCCCCGAATTTCAATATTGCCGCAGTCTTCAACCAAATGCTGGCGAAGCTCTCAGGCAGGTCCGGCAAAAGCCTGTTTGGGACTGATGTATTCTCTGGCCAAGTGCAGCAATGCGATACCAGTGCCCTTCGAACATGCAAACGGCTTATCATACTCATTCATTCACATAGCTGTAGTATAACTTCGCTGGCACTAGGTGAGCAAATGCCATCTCAAACTTACGCTTGTACCGGACTAGCGAAACTGGAAGACTAGCAGCACAATGTCTCCAGTCTCGCTGTGCTCGGCACTGGCTTCGTCAGTTTGCCCCAGGAAGAACAAGACCTAACGTCTGCAACCATGCCTTTCTACCTTTTGTTTATTTGGAGGTGCAAAAGCTGATGCACCGCTGAGTGTCTCGAACCAGGACAACGCCAAAGCCCGTGTGAAGGTGCTCCTCGCTGCCCCAGGTTGTTCGGATATTGTCGCGTGCCGCTCCTCAGCATCTGTGAGCTGCACCTCCGGAAGCCTCGTCCCTGAGAACTTCACAGCCCACAGCATGAGCTGCGATTCCTGACTGATGCGGCAAGGCTCTGTTGTGCGCAGTAGAAGCAACGCAAATGACAATCTCCATGACAGGCGGGGATGCGTCCACCTAGCACTTCCGACACCATCACACCGTCACACGAAACTCCAGCACAAAGACAGGCTGCACAGGAAGCTTCGAGGATGCCTTTCCCAGTGGTTGGAGCCGCTGTTGTCGCTGAGCAGCGCTGGCGAGCAGCAAGGCGCGCAGTCGGGGATCTTGACGCCAGTACAAGCGACCTGAGCCCGTAAAGGTCTGTCAATGTCGTCTTTGCTCGCCCAAGCGCCGCCTCATGCCATGTCACTGTGGCTACCTGCAATGTCACTCTGGCCACCACAAAAGTCTTTGTTCTCGTCAAGCCATTTCCATGCACGCTGTGTGCCACACTTCCTTGCTTGTTTGCTTGTGAGCGCCTGCACCCCCTGGCCCCGACCCTCTCTCTTTCGCATTGTCTCTTCTTCAGCACAGCCCAGGAACAGGGCGCTCACCCTCCCCCTGCACGCACTGCAGGGGCCCGTCACTTCGGTGTGCGTAGCTTGCAAGAGCTGTTCCCTGTAGTTCTGTTTTGCCGTGATTCATGATTATTTCTTCGGTGCCTCGGAACAGCATGCTAGTTGCGTGTAGGGGGGCAGGCTCCATGTCGTGGTCGGGTCGGTCCTGTGACTTTTCTGTGTTGCCAAACCTGTGGCTGAAGAGCCTGCAGCCGTCCGAGGGAAACCAGGGGCAGCCCCGAGTTTTTGCAATGTACTGTGGTGCATGTTTGAATTCAGATTGTTTGGTGGTCTTGGCTCAGCGTTGCCCGATGCTTCGGGGAGGGCGGTGTCGTGTACTGTTCGGGTAGGTTCGTGCACCTGAGGTGGGGATTAGGTGATCGGTGTGGAGGTTGGTTTAAAGGTGTACAGTGCACCTGAAGCCCGTGTCACGCCGACCCTTTGCGTCGTGTGCCCCGTCTTCGTCTGGGTGGCGGCGGGTGGCTTCTGCTTCGGCCTCCGTCTGGGTGGTCGGGGCAGGGCACACCGCGACGCCGAAAGCCCCACATCTCATCTTCTGTCGCCTCCTGTGTAGGGCGGAAGCAACCCCATCCAACAATTTTTTGTGTTCGCGGGCTTGGCTACAGAAAAGAGTGGACGCCCCATTGAGCAGGCCCAGGTGTGGTGTGGCTCGCAGTCTCTGTCTCTCGCTCGCTCTCAGTATCAGGCAAGACGACCACCCCCTCAGATGCGAACGAACTTGTGTACTTCTGTACTCTCTGTCTGCCTCTCTCGCGCTCTCGCAACGTATCAGGCAATGCCACTACGATATTCAGCACGTGAGACACTCACCAAGCCTAGAAACCCTGCAATATCCAGCGAGGAGAAACGTGTTCAAACACCTGTTTTGTAAACTGTGAAAAGATGCGACCGTGCATGGATTCCAGAAGGGCTACCAGAAGCAGCGAGAACTGAGTACCATGGACTCCTGAACATGCAGTGTAAGTGTAATTAGAATAATTAGAATCAGAAGCCTTCCAAGTGACTGAATCACGAAATGATGACAAGAGATCGGGAACATAATGTAAGCCGCGCGGCTAAGGAAGTAGTTTCCCTGGCGCTCCATAAATACACGGGTGCCGTGTTCCAGAACACCCTCGCCAGAAGCTTCAGATGGACACTTGCTTGTTTGGGTCCAGCAGACTCAGAGCAGGTTTCGGAGATGAGCCTGCGGTGAAGACAGCGTGCTAATTGTGGCCATCATCTCCTCCGCCGTCTCGAACCGCCAGCGCGTGAGCAAGACGTTTCTCTCCTCGGGCATTCATTGGGGGGGGGGGCGGGAAGGTGGGTTGCGGGGGGGGGGGGGAGGGTGACTGGAGCAGTGTTGCTCACACTGGCTGCTTCCCTATTGCACATTTGCACGCCTAGCGGTTGAATTCAGCAAGTGTGACTCTCACCTGAATTACACGAACACGGTTGACATTGAAGGCGATAGTGAAGGTAAGGGAGAGGGTGTGAGTGCGATTGTGAGATTGAGGGTGATAGCCAGATTGGGGTGAGAGTGAGGATGAGGGCGAGAGTGAGAGTGAGATCGACGGTGAGATTGCGGGTGAGGGGGCGGGAGTGGGAGAGTGAGGATGAGGGAAAGAATGAGAGTGAGATTCACGGTGAGTGTAAGGGTGAGGAGGAGGGCGAGAGTAAGACTGAGAGTGAAAATGAGAGCGAGAGTGGGAGTGAGGGTGAGACTGAGCCTGAGAGTGAGAATGAGCGCGAGGTTCTAAGTGAGAATGAGAGTGACATGAAAGTGAGATTGGAGGAAAGACGGAGAGTGAGAATGACGGTGAGAGTGAGGGCGAATGAAGGTGAGATCGTTACTAGCTTGAAGTCCTGCAGCTCCTGCTGTCACCTTCACTCGCTTGTTCGAGTTTAGCATCATCTCGGATTCCAGCCAGCAAATGCAGTTCCCAACGCTTGCCTGTCACACCTGTGCGGTTGATAGGTAGATCTGTCAGGTTGTGATTCTGTATAGGAGATGGCAGATTGCCTCGCCTATACTCTCACCTCCCATGCCGATGACGTTGTTCAAAAAAACAGAGCCTTCGATCTTGACTGAGGATACCAGGAGGCACAGGAGGCGACTCTTTCTGTGCGAGCTTCAAGCATTGGGAGCATAGCTTCGAACCACGAGCAAAGCTTGACAATTCAAGACTGCTACTTGTAGCTGAAAGCTCCGACTATCAATCCCACGAAATGCCGTCATTAGCCTAAAGGCTTCGTGCTTTGGAGTTCGTTTGCTGATCGCTTCAGACGGTGGCGTTCTTTATCTTGTTCGTTTCATTGGGCCTGAAGTCCTGCAGCTAGGACCCTCTCGCTGAAAACTATCCCAAGACTCTCTCTCTCTCTCTCTCCTCCCACTCTCCCTCTCAACACCCGTGCCCCAGGTGCCAAGCACGCGCGGGCATGCAAAGGTACTGGACTGCTGTTGAACTTGTGTGCGCGCGCGTGTGTGCGTGTGTACCATATTGCAGCCAAGCGCGCAACTCCAATGCTCCGGCTTCGTCCAGCCCTGAATTCAACCTCCAGAATCTCCTAATCCTCAGAGCCGAGCTTCGACATACTCATAAATAGCCGGCGTCCCCAGAAAGATGGGAGTTATGCCTCTGGCTATACACTCCAAGAACTCGGTGCTGATGTCTTCCCAGAACATAAGCCGGTACGGCGCAGCATCGCCCTGGAAACCGGCTCAACGCATGTACAGGCAGGAAACTAAAATATAAATGTGTATACATATATACATATATACATATGCATATATGTGACAGAAGATGTGGAACATGAAGATGTGGAACATGGTGTTATGGCATTAACCATACAGTATGAAAATGGGCCTGCAATGGGTTCTGATACACTATATATTAGAAACGATATGTCATTATACGTTGTATGTTATCTGTTATGGTGACATAGTAGATATTAGGCTATACGGAGTTATACATGTATAACATGTCTGATCAAATCCTCAAGAAGATTGTATATTGAATGAAAATTCTGCACTACTATTTTTTATTTGTTGTTACTATTCAGATGAGGCTGGCATGACGGAGTTCGCAGCAGCAGATTCAGTCCTGGCAGCTCTCTTCTGTGAGGCAGATGTTAAGCAGCCCTTGCTGCATCAGCGCCGTAAAATGAGCATTCCAGAAATCTGGCTCCTGCCCGTGCTTCAGACACCCATGCTCCGTCAGTGTGAGGTAGTGTAAGAAAACATACGAGACGGCCGGCCTGCAACCATCTTTGCGGGTTCCATTGCGCCTCTGCAGAATAGACCTGCAGCAGAGTCGAGTCGCAAGCTGACTGAAGCTGTTGCATCCCATCAGCACTCTTCACGATCCGCCGAGCCACACTGTAAGCGTGAAAGGACACTATGCCACTAAGGTCTGGCAGGGGCTCGCCAGGTGCCCATGGAAGTCGCACAAAAGGCAACTCTGCGGCCTTGCCAGGCATTGACACGACTTGACAGTAGCCGTGAAGCGACTGGCCGGCGCCTCATGCGGGTCTACTGGAAAGATACGGCAAACTGGCGGAGCCCGCGCAAAGCTGTCAAGGATGTATTCATCCTGCCATGCAAAAAGCGAGACACCGCACGCTCACGCGGCTGGGTCGCACGGCATCAGTGACGCCTGGTCTGCACATGCAGTCCTCAATGAGCAGGACATGGTATAAATCACAGAGTCGCAGCTCTTTCGGGACCCAGTCGAGTGCTGATCCTCGTCCCTTTGCCCAGAATGCGCGGAAATTGCAGACAGCCTGGCAGTTCTAGCGAATGCGAACCCATCCTAGTCCAGCCGGAATAGGTGATTCGGGAAAAATGAAACGGTGGAATTCATGCGAGCACAGGCAACATCCAGAAAATATCACATCCTTGCAAATGGTGTGGGCAGACTTCTTGCTTGGCCAGGCACATTCGGTCCTGCCAACGACCCAACATCTAGCTGCAACGCTGGAGCTGCATTGTTCGTAGCTTTCGCCTGGAAAACGTCCAGAAGAATGCAGGCCTCCGGAGCACGCACAAGACCCTGCTCCCAGTGCTCCGGCAATTGCCGTGCATGCAACCGCACCTGGGTGGTTTGTGTGGGCTGCGCTGGGTCAGCTGTGATGTAACCATGCTTGGCTTCCAGCTCCCGAACAATCAAAGGTGGACTTTCTGCTTGAACCGTGGGAAGTACCTTAGCTCGCCGCCTCAAGTCCTTGTGGAAATCAGCTGCACAGTCAGACCCTTACAGTACATTCTCCTGACACCACTGTCTTGCAATCAGGAATCCTCTGTCCAAATGCGCTGCAGTTCCTGTGCAATGCGCGCAGGATATTCATCTATCCGAGCGGGAAGAAGCTTACGCACACCTCTTCCAGCAGTGTAGCTTGTCCGAGCACAAGCCAGCTCTGGAGAAGAAATCGCGAGACTTTGCCGCCCATATCAACAGAGCATTTTGCCGCGTGCTTGCTGCTTCTTGCCTCTACCAGTCAACTTGTCCGGACAAGTCCTTCACTTCGTAGTTGAAGATGCTTGAAAGCTACATGGCAAGTGGGCTCATGTTCTGGTGGAATCACACGATTGCACAGAGCCATCTGCACGGCAGACAGACGACTACCGTGACTGTAGGGAGAAGAGGGTCGTCGAAGCACATCAACAAGACAGGCTGACACAAGCGACAAATTACTGTAGGTGAGCCACAGACCAGGGGTCTGCCATTCATCGGGCCAAACGTCCACGGTGCGTTCGAGCCCTCATCGCCGCGCGATCAACACTGCTGCTCGTCATTACGTGCCCAGTTCTGCCCAAGCCAACATATCTACGGAAAAGAGAAACCGCAAAACCCAAACCACCAACGACGACGAGGTCAATTGACCTTCCGCATCTGGATACTTGCTGGTGCTGCATGTTGCCTTTCCATGCCTTTCCTATTGCGGTGCCCTATTCAGCCGTGAATTGCTGATCCCTTTCGGCGCTACATTGCATTTTCTGCGCAAGGTCGTCACGAAGCATCCGCTGCTTTTGCAGGACCCGTGTCCATGGCTTGAGGTTGTGCTTCATGTGCTTCTATCGCCTTCTCATGGCTCCCCGCTTGAGGCTCGGCCGCTTGAGGTTCGGCATCTTTGGACGTGACCTCTTCAGAGCTCGGCTTCACCTCCGGTGAAGCCTCGGCTTCGAGAGCCCGAGGCTCAGGCTCTTCGCTTCCTCCGGTCATGGCTGCGCGGTTCTTACAGTAACTCAACTGAAAAAACTCGTCGGCCGTCCTTCCACGTCTGCAGCGTCCGTCTTGGTCTCGTCAGCGGGATCGTGCACACTGCCTTCGATTGCAGCACGAAGCGCCTGGCAATTCGCAGAGCTTGAAAAGAAGCTCCATTAGGGATGCGTGTGGGCCGGACCTCTACCGCGTCTCCGGAAGGCTGCTGCAATGACTGCCAATCCTCCGGCCATGCCCAGCATGTTCGCCATCCCATCGCCTCAAGTAGAACTCAAGAAACATCCTGTGCACGACGTCAGAGCGATCCAACGGACTTTTGCGCCTTCAGGGTCGACTCCATGAGGCGCCCGAAACCACTGAGCTGCTTCCCGGCTCTGCCGGCTGTCATGTGCTCTTTTCTGGGTACAACGAGCAGGGTCTGAAGCCTGGGTCACTTTCTGGCGCTTTGCAGCTTTTGGGCGTGCATTGAAGCTGAAGGCCAACTCAGCCGACCGCCGTTCAAAGGCGAAGTCGGCCACATAGGGCGTGCCACGCACCTTCAGTCGGCCACGGCTCGACCCGACACCCTACATCTTTTTCAATTTAGGTTCCTGAAGAGCTCGTTTGCCGCGAAGAGCCTGGAAAAGTTCTGCTACATCTTCTGATGGAAGTGCTGCAGGAAGGGCAAGACGCAGTCCTCTTACCAGTGCCTGGCCAAAACCAGGCACTTTCTCTGGCCTGTCTCAACGCCTCATGCTGGGAGCAGCGAGATAAAGCACAACAAGCGCATGACACCACTCCTGTTTCATGAGGAGTGCCGCTCTTTTTGGCGAAGGTGCTTAGGCACATTACATAGAATTGCCCTTCTCCCGCTGTTGCCTGTTTTGCAGCAAAGGAAATGGCATGGGGGGAAGCGCGCGGCCGCAAAAATTGAGATTTACGTGCTTGTCAAGGAACGACACACTGGGAATAAGAGGAAAAATGCGGCGACGAGATAGTGGAGCGCGGCGCGTATCCGTACACTCGTTTAGTTTAGCAGGATTTGCTGGCTTTTCGGTAGATGCCGGGGGACTACTTGCGTGATATTGGAACGCAACTCTGGCCCGTCTTGGTTGACAGGACAAAACTGTGGAGAGCTCGAGCGGCACAGCCTTTATCATGGGCCATGCGCCTTGCCCATTTATACCTGCACTGCACATTGAGGCTCGAGTCCGCTGAAAACCGGACTGTAAGAGCACTGCTCCTCAGCAATGGAAACGGAAACCATTCAGAATGAGATGAAGCTCGCAACAAGGCATGTCACAGTTCCACGCCGCGGACCAATTACATGTATACTTACCTACAGTATTCTACACCGGACAAACACTGAGAAATCTGACTGTCAAGTGAAGTGTCGGTGATCATTAAGGGTTGCTCGTATCGAAACTGCGGAAAGATTATTTTCTTGCTTCTTCTGGTTTGCTGTGATGTCTGCCTGGTCTGCCTGGTCTGAAAGGTCTTGATTTTACCCGGGTTCTACCCCTACTAAGGCGTCGTGAAGCAGCAAGTTGGCCTCGCTTTCCACATCCTTTGCCAAAGCAAAGGAGGGCAGCTGGACGTCCTCCTAACAAGTTTACACACCGGGTCGAGACATGGGCTTTGCCTGAGCACCGTCTCGGCTCCAAGTCCTTGGAGAAAGCGAAAGACGTATCCAGCAGGGCTGGCGCGTGCGGTGCAAGCCTTGGTCATTCCAGGCCACAGAAATTGCCGCAAGCGGAGCTGCAGCTTTAAAACAATTTAAAACTCAACAAGCGAAGCAACCGCAAGGAGGCGAGGACGGTCTTTGACGAGAGGTACTGCGCACACAGCACGAAGGCCGATAGCTTTGGATCTGTTGCCAGGCTTTCCTCATGAGATCTTGCCTGCAGTCGTCAATCTTCTGGTTGCATGACCAACATGAGCGTTTGATGCGCTGTGCCGCAGTGCAAGCAAGGCACTACATCTCGCCCAGCCAGCTGCCAAGCGTAGGCTAGGATGTCAAAGGGCAGCTTTCCGCCGTAAGCTGATGCAATGGCGAAAACAAGCTCGACGGAGTCGACAGGTTTCCAGCCAGGTACTTCGGATGAGAAGTCGCGGAGCCCCCGTCGAATAGGCTGGCTTAAGGAGGAACCTTCAAGACCCAGAATGCCCACACATGTACAGGTGGCCTGAAGAACACCCATGTACGTCACAGGATCATCGCAATGCTTGCTTCTGGCGGTGGCAGTCATCAAAGGTACAACCTTTCAGGGACTTAAAACACAAAGCACCGGCCAAGGCGCAGGTAGGGCTTTTTTTATTTCCACCTTGTTCGTAAGCGACTTCAACATGTCCACGCTGTCGGCCCCAACCGATTCCAGCATGCGCCGCAGAAAGCTGGCAAGCCCCGCTGAAACACTCAGCCTTTGCTCTGCAAGCCTCAGTTCAATCTCCTCGAATGCCTCAGCTGTTCGCCTATCTGATCGTACAACTTCCTAGTGAGGGCCTAGTACACCAGCGCAAGACCTGAAGGAAGGCCCTCAAAGTTGCAAATCCGTCTAACGTGTGAGGAAGACCAAAGTCTCCTTTCTGAGCTTCGGTTTTGGCCCCACTTTAAAGCTTGTCCCATTTTACAGTCTTTGGAGTCCCTCGCTGGATCAGCACCCCGACGAACAGCGGCCCGACCCAAAGACATCTTCTGACTTGCCCAATGGCCACGGACAGCAGCTCAGGATGGACTTCTGTGAGCTTAAACAGGTCGTCGGGCTTGATTGAGGAAAGCCGTTTTCGAAGGTGCTGCGATAGCAGTGTGCACAGTTCGCTGCAAACCTCCTCATCCTTCGTCGCCTAGGTGAGCAGAAAAACACCTAAAAACCGTGCAGAACATGGACCTTGCCCATGCAACACATAAGTGGTCAGATCTAGTCAAGATTCCGCGAACTCGGCAAAGCATTCCATGATCGCCCTGGGGAAATGTAAGGTCGAAGCGTGGAACGTCGTCCGGAAGGTTTGGCTTAAGGCTTAAAGCCGTCGTGACACCGATGATTGAAGTTGTTTGCTTGCTGACTGCACAAAACCGACAAGCTTAGTTGAATGTTTGCGAATGCCAAGCGTTACTGTAGATCCCTCCAATCAGAACCATGTCGTCTGAATTGACTGCATCGCCTTGTTTCGAGGTTGCGAGCTTCCTCTCTGCAGATGCTCATTGCTGCCCTTTTCAGCTCTGCTGAAGCGAGCCCCTGCCGCTGAAGCTCAGCCAGAAGAAGAAGCACGAACCGCTGCACCTGGAGGCTGCAGGCTAGGGCCTGTGGTTAGTTGAGTCTCGTTGGCGACAGCACATGTTCTACTGTTGCGGCATGGGCTCCTTAGCCAGGAGCTCCGATGGAGATGCAAGAAGCAGGGCATGCGCGTCAGACTCCAAGGCCTCCAGGGTTTCCTGCCGCAAGCGTGCAAAAAATGTCCTTCTGTGCATTCTGCCGAAGACCAAACCGACAGAGACGACTTCCGGCGACCCCTCCAGCGCCTCCGCCTGCGACTGTTCCTCGCCCGCAGCCTTCGCAGCTGCCTCACCGGCCTCGTCAGCCTCGCCAGGACCAGGCTCCGACGTGGCGCCTGCGGCGTCGCCGGCAGCCGCCGTTGCGTTCGCTTCAGCTTTACGGAGGAGATCCAGGAAATGCTCGGAGATCTGCTCTGCACAATGACTCATGCTCACGCCGTTTGCCCTCATCGCACGCGCGGCCATCAGCATCTCGTTCATCGGCATTCTATCCTTTTGGACACCGTGCGATTCCAGGATTTCGCCTCAGCTGGGTGAGTGTACAAAACTTAGCGGTGGTAGGCTGCTAGTGTTATTGAGAGGTGCCGCTGTAACAAAAACCATACAAACCACAGAGTCAGCAATGTCACGGCCTGTGTCGTTGCGGCCTGGTGTAAGAGACGTGCCACCCATCATCCACGCACAGATGTTGCCAAGTGGCCGATCCGCTCAAACCGCGGCTTGAGATTTGAGTGGAGTCCGCAAAGACCTTGCTCGCCTTCGGGTTTTGAGACTGTTTGATATCCGGCGGACGTCTGACGGCCTCTGTGCCTACCCCGCCAAACGACTCCATGCGAGGTGAAGGCATGTGGAAGCTCTTCATCGCACTCTGTTGCTACAGCAACCAGCCTGCTTGCGTGAACAAGTTCCACAGCACCGTGGGGTACAGGTCCTCCATACAAAAACAGCACATCAACATCGGCCAAAGCTACATAGAGTAAGGCAGCGGAGCCTGTCGCATGTTAATGCCCGCATTCAACAGAGCCATACAGATCGGTTCATAGGAAGACACGACCTCCAGTCTCCTGCGACCAGGCTTCACCGAATGAACATGAAGGCATTCCCTCAAAGACCATGCACTACCGTAGAGGCTGACGTCCACTCTGGATCGCTTCCGGCCTGGTGACTGCAGCCACTTGCTGCGGATCGGGAAAGCCGGTTGACAAGATCGATTTCATTCTCAGTACCAGGAAGCCAGTGAGCCTTTGTTCACCTGGCACCGGAATGAGGCTACGATAACCGGCAAGCGTATCTGCCGGACACATCACCGAAGCTACGCATCACAACGACGCATGAGATCGTGTACTGACAGAACCTTTGCCCAGCGCAACGTGTCGGTTTGCACCTTTCTTCCTGCTCGCAGAAGCACGACGGAGGAACTCCAGCAGATCCAGGATACTCTGCAACCTTGGAGCACAACACCCACACTCCAACAATACGTAAGTGACTGCCTTGTCTGGCCGGAAGTTCCAAGCACCGCTTGCAAAATTGAGTTTGCCACGACAGATCTCGGCCTTTGGTCTCCAATTGGCCCCTGCTGTCGGTTCAACAGAACGGACAAGTGTTTTTAAACACAGCGGCAGGTCCGAACAGCCGTGCCGACAGTGCTCCGGGCCTGAGGAGTTTCCATAGGTCGTCTTCGACGGTGTCAATGACGGGCAGGAGGGCGCATATTGCAGGTGTCTCCAAAGTACCCCCTGCGGACGCAAGACAAGCTACTAGCCAATCAGAGTCAAGTGCATGTGACAAAATGGTGAATAGGATTAGCCAGCATCTGTGCAAAGCACCTCGCTTGACAAGCTCTTGCTTCATATGCGTCAAGACAATCGGGTCGAATTGGGCGCCCTGGCATATACACGCACTCTGCATGTACGGAACAAAGAGGAAGAGAAAGAGAGACAGAGAGAGGCACTGCTTTCGTGCAGATACCTTGACCATTCATGTTTCCTGCCGTAGGCACGCTTGTGCACACAGTTCTAACAAATTATAAACCATGTTTTTTGGCACTCGCACTTTATAATGTACGCACCCGCAGATTGCACATCATATGCAGCTTGCAAAACGAAGACGGCTTCTGCACACACACACACACACAGACACATCCGCTCAGACAGTTGTACATAGATTGCATACTTGTTGCTATGTCGTGTGGCTTAATACTCTTACGGAATTACTTCTGTATAGATTCATAACCGCGAACAGAAATCCTCACGAAATCAGCTCGAACGCCTGCTTTATGTAAGCTTCAAGATGCACCAGCCTTCTGCAAAGCCTTGTGCAGAAGCGGAAGAACTTTTGCCAAGCTTTCCGAAGTGAAGTCCTGGCATAGAGGGATCTCTGGTTCTGCGACATCCCGCTGAATCCAAAGAATTTGTAGGGCAGATTGCAATCAACTCCAATTTGAGCATGACGGCACAAATTCCATAAGACCTCCGCGACGGCCTCCAGCCGCTTGGTCGCCAACCTTGCAGAGACCTGCAGCACCTGCGAGTTTGAGGCCAGCTCCTCCGCGCGAGAAAGAGCCTGGCTTGTCACACTTCTTCACGAAGAAAGAGTGCACATACATTTTCGGTTTACAGTTTATGAACCATGAGTTTTGCTGCAGAAAGGCTGATTGCAGTGGCATCTCATCCACCTTTGGGGCAGACCGCAGCGCCTGGCAAAGTTTCAGCAGCCCATGCATGTGGAGACGACATGACAGGGCCTTGGCAAGCTTCGAGTCCAGAGCATTGAGCTTTTCTCGTGGCACCGCACTCCAGACTCGGAGCAGGTCCGGCATCTCCATCTTGCCTGGCGCGTGCGCGCAAGCGCGCCGTGCACGCCGAGAGACGCAAGCACATCTGAAACAAGTCTGGCCTTTAGCGATTTGTTTGTCGACGAAAGGCCACAAGCGCTCGGCATCGCCATGCATATTAATCCTTGCGAAATCTCGGCACCACAGTCATGGTTCAAGCTTAAGTCTTTCTGCAGTGAACTTTGGTCTGCGGCCTTCGGATGTTGTTGTAGATTCGCGAGAGGAGCGTCGGAGAAGTGGTCGAGAGCTCCTCCCCTTGCTCGAAAATGTGGTCCCGAAGCTTCACATAGCCTGAACATTGTAGACTTTTTTGGCACCGCTAGTGATTCTGTCTTGAGAAAGCAAAACATGTGCATGTATCTGCTGGCTGCGGCTTCTCTGCCACATCGCAAACAAAGCGAAGACAGCTACTTAGCATGCTAATGCCTCCAGCTGCACCTGCAGCCCTATTCGATAACACGCGAAACAGCGGCTGCGAGCTGCGTGAACGGCCTTCGTGCTTCTCGCACTCCACCACCCAGCTTCGCAATGCTTTTTGTGACCTGGCCGTACTTCTCCGATCCTTCGTCTCCTTCAGGAGGATTTGCCGGTCCTCGTGTTTCGATTTCGATGCACTCGCGGTGAAATACCTACTCGAAGAAACAGCAAGGCAAAGCGACAGGTCCAAGGCCCGTCTAAATGTCTAAGACACCTGCCTTCCGCAGGTGATCCAGGACGACAGCAATCTCACCAAGGGATGGAGTCCTCATCAAAGAACATCGGCCAAAAGGGTCGGCACTAGAGGTTCCAACGATGCAGCTGGAAGTCCCCTTGTGCTCTGCGTAGGCCTGCAAGTACTGCTGGCACAGTCCACCTCAGCAGAACTCACGCAAAACTGTCCTTTCGGAGCCTTGCCGCAGAATTCTGGGCCGGATGCTGGGCTTTGCAGCGGCATTTTGCACTCTCTGCACCGCTCTCAACAGCGACATCGTTCGATTCAAGCGGCCATGGCAACATGTTTTCGGCAAGCACAGCTTCTAAGCTAGAATCTTTGGGAAGTAGCAGAGACATGTTAAGTCTGAGCTCTAGGAAGTGACTCCTTTACCTGCAATGACAGGAATGACATTCTGCATGCTGCTGACTGAGTTCGATGCTCCTGCAGATTATCGGGTACTGGTCAATATAGATTCCAGGCCAGCCCAAGACTTTTATAGCTTGAGTCTGCAGGAGACCGCCAACGACGCAGACAAATGCACGTGCAACTGCAGGACCCTGCATGGGTAGCATCAAAGTAGCCATGACCTGCTGTTTAAAAGCCTTGAGTCTTTTCAAGGTCGTCTGGGCTACATCACCGAATGCCCCGGGTGGCTAACCTACAGCACGACAGCATAGCATCTGGTCACATCACCTGGCATCTGAAAGTTCTCCCTTGTCATACATCTTCTGTCGGCGCATGCATTAGCTTTTGGTAACCGAGCGGCCGTCTCGCCAATGAAAGACAAGAGGTAATATGTGAACAGCTGGCAAAGCTTCAGGTAGCCAAGGTATCCTGACCTCGTAGATGGTGACATGTCCCGTGTTGCCGTTCCTGCTGCGTTTTATGGGAGCTGTGGGATGACATGACAGGGCAAACCTCCGATTTACAAGCAAAACCCGAGCGGCAAACGACCAGCTTTCTCCGGCTTTTCTCCCTCTTTCCATCTGTTTCACTAGGAGTCTTTGAGGGCCAGGCCCAAGCTGCCGCAGAGCTGAAGGAGCTTCACTTACTCTCAATAGATCACTTTGTAGATCTATAGACACAGTCAAGCGGCCAACCTTCCAGGCAAGCTCCTGCATTCTGTTGCTACGAGATGTGGCCTCGCAACTGGCCTGCAGTTCCGACAGCCGAGCTGCAGTTACAAGCTCTGTCAGATGCGGCACATGCTTCTCGGCGATCACAGGCATATCTGCGCAGCAGCGATGCTTCCAGATAAAGTCCATGGCAGAATGCACTGATGTATAGGCGCAAGCGTGTTCAGCATGCCACGCTTGCCTGATGCCGCGTTCCTACCTCCGTCGCCGCCGTCCTCGGTAGTCCAGGGATCGATAGTAGATGTTGGCAGAGGGAGAGAAAGAGAGAGAGAGAGAGGGAGAGGTAGACAGACAAAGCAAACATGACGTCGTGAAACCACATGCTTCGGACTGCGACAGTCTCAGCGATTCATCATCTGACTTTTCTTAGTGCCGGTTGCAGAGCACCAGGTAGCATGCAGCATCTTGCTGCATGGTGTCCAGGTGTCGCGACACCGCAGGAACTCGAAAGAGATTTCGAGATGAGGCAGCAGCGTTCGGCCGTCTTGCACCCTCATCTCTGAGAGCTACATGTGCACCGCTACGACTAGGTACCTACGGCAATCGTTCATGTCTTGCTCAGGTGCTCCAGCACGAAGTTCCGCAGCAGTCCGACCTGTCGCTTAGAACCGAAGCACGCCTTGGCCTTGGGCCTTGGAGCACGATGGAGCCTCTTCGGAACACAACTCGTGCTGAACATCCGGAAATTCCAGGAGTTCCTCCGCCGGGAGTGCCAGTGCCAGTGCGTTCTCAAAAACATCCGCCGGTCGACATTTAATTAAGCGTATGTTGCGGCTAGATACCAACCGTTTCACTCGCCCATCACCTCCCTTGAAGCAGTGGGCGCCCACAAACTTGAATAAGCGCTGGCCTGCGCCGAGGCTAATGTAATGCCAGACTCCGTTCAAGACAACCGACCTACAACGCATTAGCAATACCAAGTTGCAAAAAGCGTAAGGTCCACCAACAAACTGCTCACTCTACGTGACGACAACGCACTGCCTCTGTTGAAACAAAGTGTTCTTTCAATTCGTTTTCGGAGTTCGTAAGTCCTGATTGCTGGCTTCTGTTGTCCTTCCCGCTCTCCAGTCTTAGTATCTTTTGGTGGTTCTTCGGCGTGCCCTCTAATTGCCCGCCGGTTTTTCGGTGGCTGCGGTTCGTTACAAAGGGGCACTCTCGGTCGTGCCTCCGGCAAGCATGCGGCATGCTGAATCTCAGGACCGTCACCACAGGGTCCTTGCTTGTGAGGCCTGCAGCGAGAAGACGCCTGTGAGTGGCCCGCGCCCATTCCAGCCGAATCATGCCTTGCCAGCAATTCGCTCTCAAACCCATGTCATGTCGTAAAGCCTACGAGGACGTCTTTCCAGCATGGCAATTGTAACTTTCAGGCTCGTACCGTCCGCTTGGCCTCAGACAGAATGCGGTGACAAAAGAGTCAGAGCGACTGCGGAAGGCGTGGGGCCGTGTGCCATGAAGAGCGGCGGCGAGGAGGTCAAGCGACGAGCTGCTTCGTCCAGGCCTGGACGCAGTTCAGTAGTGGCAGCAGAGGCTCAGCGATGTCTCTCTGTGAAGCTCTGCGCCCTGCAGCTGTCTTTGGGCAAGAAGGTGCTCAAACTGGCTACCATGCCCAGCCTGCCCAGCTACAGCAAGTTGTCAGACGGTGTCAACATGTCTTCCCGACCTTCCTGCATAACGTCCCATGCCATAGGCAACATGCAATGCCTGGGCACACACGGTCTCAGCCTACCTTGCATGATTGGCACCATTTCGTTGGGGCAAAGCGCTGCCCACAAAGCAGTGCAAATTGAGTGATCCACTAAGCAGCCACCCATTGACATACCACCGACCCCTGCGACGAGCAATGGACCCTGCAGCGACACTCTGCATCAGAAACAAGCTGGACACCTATCTTGGAGATCGGAACGCCCGATTCCACAAGCTTGTCCTCAGCTGCTTGTCTGCGAAGCAGGGCCAACAAAAGGTCGTTGCTTTCGCAGGCAAGTGGCGATCTCTTTGTCAACAAGCTCCACTGACCTGACAGGTCGTTCACAACAGTTCATTTGCTCCCTTGCTCTTTCTCGCGCTCGCATGTGCTCCCTCTCGTACTAGCTTGCTTTTGTGCTCGGGGTGTAGGGGCAAGCCTCCGCGCACTCACACTCCTCCAGTCTCACGAATGTCCTCTTCCAACTAACTGGATTGTTTCCGAACTGACAAGATGCTAATTACCCGGGATCCAGCTTCTGGTAGGACCGCAGTGCGAAAGGAGGTCCGTTTGCTTCTCGCCTACTGTTGCGCCGCCGGAGTTCCACGCGTCACAGAAATTGAACATGACAACGGAGAAAATGTCACGCCAGTGGCCCGCTTCTCTCGGGCTCATTTGGATTCAGATCCTCTGAGCAGAGAACACGCACCGCGGTAGGCACGGCTGCTTTGGGTCTTGTCCCCTGCATCTCCGGTGCAATTCTCACGATTCTCATGCCGAGGAGGTCCGTTCGTACAACAGAGGCTAAGTGATCACCCCATTCTTGAAACACACAGGCTCAGCGGCTGAGCCATAGGACGGCTTGCTGTAAGATGTATGAGCCCACGGCTCTCTCATGCTCTCTATCTTCATCTCCATCTCTGTCTCTATCTCTCTCTGACATGAGGAAGGGGTGCAGGTTCTTTTGCTTGCTCGAGGTTTAAGGCAGCGGTGCTACCCCCCCCCCGGCAAGCAAACCTCAAGGTTCTCTCTTCACTTCACTTCACTCCGGGGTTCGAGGAGCTTGTCAAAGTCCCCGCACCTTGCGGTGCAGCAGATCCAAAAATATGGTTCTCTTGCTTGCTTGCTGCAAGGCGTTTGGGGCGGGGAGGGTCCCCGACCCGCTGTGCTCTCGTGCTACGCCTGTGTTCGTGTCAGGAGTCGGCGTGAAACTGAGGAGAGGGCTTGACTCCAGCCGTGCTCCCTCTCGAACCAAGTCCCCCCTGTTGACCCCTAAGCTGGGACCCCGCCGCCTAGTTCAGTTCGCTGGCATCGAGCCCCGCTCTGTGCTGGTGTTCTGTTCCACAGCTTGAGCCGTGTGCGTCGCCATGGTTGGCTACGGTACTGAAAGCTGGGGCCCCGGTACATTTGTTGGGTGTCGGTAGTGAGCTCTTTTGCGGCAAGGGCCGCATTCTTAGGTGGAAGCAAGAGAGTAGGGTACCAACTGAACAGAGTCAAGGTTGTAATATGGTTCTCGCTTGCTTGCTTGCGTGCGTGCCCCTCAAGGTGCCTCTTTCTTTCCCCAGGGCTGTGGTGGGGAGGGTGCCTCTCTCTCTCTCTCTCTCTTGCTCTCTATCCCTCCCTCCTTCACCAGACTTCGAGGAAGGCAAACGCTCTCCCCTCCCATGCAGAGACACTAGCTGTTGCATCTCTCTTTCGTCGTCTGGATCGGCTGGAAGTGCACGACAATAACAACAAAGACTCCAAGCTCCGATGCACCTCTTCAGGCCAGGCACGTCTTCCGGCGCTTCGTACGCCATAGCTACCCGATCAAACCTCAGACTGGTTTGCGCTCTAGACAGGCACTGTCCGACGAGGGTGGAAGTCGTGTCAGCGTTAGCTATAACGATGAAAGCTGGCACTGTGCCCGAAACCACACAGTCTGTGGCATTCCGCCACTCAGGCCTCGAGGTGGCTCGTGACAAGCAGCATGTATGCTATCACAACGGTCCAAGTCATCCAAGTCTCTGTAAGGTATTCTCTCGGCCGTTGGGAACTGCATCGCAATGCCTTCTCGTGCAAGGCTGGCCCTGGGAGGAGAGCAAGGGTCTCCAATCCTCTTCTACCGCCATTGGTTATACTATATTATATCATAGTCTGTTATATTGTATATGAGTCTGAAACATGCTGGGACTCAGACTCGAAAGCTCCACCACTGATGGCATGCAGCCAGCCCTATCAGACTCTCCGCTGCGCTCCCATTTTGCCATGCCTTTTATGAAGGGGGTCCTGGACACCCTCGCCGGTGTCTCCGCTGCCATGCAAGAAAATCAAGACGGAGCTTGGCGAGGACATCCTCCACATCACACTGAGGCGCAAAGGACACCAGGTCATGCTGCAACGTGGGAAAGCTTTGTGAACTGCAGCACTGGGCCTCTGCCTCTTGCGCGGGTCTGCACCAAAGAACCCCCAGCCTCAGATGACAAATGCTCTGCATCGTCCGTACGTACAGCCGTACAGCGTAGTGCAGGCAGCTCCCGCTCCCGTGGACATGACACAAGCAGAGCACAAATGAGGCCCTGACAACTCAAGGGGATGCACGGCCCAAGATGCGCCATCAGACGCGGAAGACATGCAGCTAAGATCCCAAAACGGCAGAGGGCAGGGATAAACGTTGACAGTCTAAACTCATCCTTCTCCATTCTGTGATCTCAGAGCCACACCCCGGCTGTAACTTTTGCTCTCGCGACGTCTCCTTGCAGAAGCAGATCCTGCCTTAACTCTCAAGTGGAATGTGGGAGCTGGCCTTCGGCTAGGTTCTCGATCACGTGAGCGGCCTGGGGATGCTCTCATGCGGTCTTCGAAACACCAAAGGCCCAGGGACACCCATGTCTCCAACGGTAAGGCCGAAACTTCTGCTTTCTCTGCGCCTCGAGCGATCCTTTCCCCGATCCTCGGCACGTCATGTCCGAGCGAAGGAGCTTGTTGTACGACTTCCCCATTACTGCAGAAGCCACACGTTTTGTTTTCCGTGCATATGTATGTAGCCCAACTCTTGAGGCAGCTTGGCTGCAAGGCGAGGCAACAACTCAAGACATTAACAAGGCACGTTGGTGGAGAAGTCAGAAGTCGACTCCCTGCAACGGTCAAACATTATCAATCAGAAACTGAACCCTAGAAATCTAGAAAGCCAGAGCCAGGAGATGCCAGGACCAAAGCTATCTTGGAGATCGGGGAGACCTCGGAGAGCCTCGAGGAGATTGACTTGGACTTCCTCCCTTGTCTTTGCCTCTTCGAAAGCGCCCCATCAGGCCCTTCTTCTGCCTTGGGCTGCCGTCGTCGCCATCTGTCTCCAGAGCTGCACCCACGACCGTTTTTGCAGCTGCACTCACGGTTTTTTGACCAGTTCTTTGCCGATCAGCCAGGGACATCCCCGCATCCTCACGCTTTGGCTTGTCAAAAACTGATGACATGCCCTTGCGCAAGTCCGTAGTGGCCGTGCCGGCGCGTTTCACCTTTACGGTGTTCGCGCTGGAGGTTGCCGTCATGGCATCTTGAGAAGGTGCGTGTCTTGGAGAGCTGGGGTTCTTTGGTGACCGCGGTGAACGTGGCGAACCCTTCGGCGATCTTGGCGAGCCAGAGCCACCATCTGCATCCTTCTCGGCACGTCTTTCACGTCGCCGGCGCAAGCAGCGGCGTACCCGCTTCACCAAGCAGTACAAGGAGACAAAGCCAACCAGTGATGAGACAATTGCGATGCCCATCGGAAGGAATGAGAGCAAGTCAAACTCACTGGATGCATTAGCTTCCTCCTCCGTTTCGGGCATCGCCGTTGTCTGCACGGTATCAACAGGCACCTTTACGCACTGCGCATGCTGCCGTTTACAAGACATGTTCAAAACCATGTAAACCAAGGCGCCCTCAGATCCCGTCGGCTTGGAGCAGCTGGAGCCAGGGGCCCCACAAGTGAAAGCGCCGGGATCGCTGACAAATCCGAGGATGGCATGGCTCTGCTGACAGATATGCGCGGTGCCTGGATGCCACCTGCGCAGAGCAGTCGTGGATAGTCGTGGTGTGCATACGGGACCTTTGGAGGGTATGCACACCTTTAACTTTTGACTCATATCCACCTTGCCTGGAGTTGGGTGCCAACTCGCCGTCTCGTTGAGCAGCCGCTGAAGTTCGAAATCCAGTTGCTGCTTGAAGCGCCCCGGGCGAAAAGCAGTGTCCAGACTCCTTCGTTCAATGCATCGTTGAACAAACCTAGCCAAACTGCTCTGCCGCCAAGCTGCACCAGCAGCTCGCGCTCGTGGATTGTCAGCTCATCCAGCGACTTGGCTCGAAGGCTTTGTAAGATGCGGAAGGCCTGAGGCGTTCCCTCTCTCTTGGGCCAATCCTCAACGACGGCTCTGGGAAGCTGGCTGGCCGGCGTCCATCCGATTCAAGCAGCCGGCCTTGCAGAGCACTTCGGTGAGGAACTCCGAATTCCCGAGACATCGTGCAAAGCTTTGCAAAGCCTGTGCCGTTGTCACTGTTGATCTCGAGAGCATGCGCCCACATGACACCAAGTTCGGCATGCAGGCGCTGCACACGCACATCTTCAAAGTCTCCACCGTCAATCGTCCTGACAACGCCATGACTATGCCGGACAAGAACACAAGCAAAAAGGAACAAGATTGATGCGGTCCTGCCCTGGACATCAGCCACCCCTCGGCAATAACCTGATCCAGCCCGGCAGACGAGACGAGTGTTCCTACCGAAGTTCACAGATATCGATCTAGGGATTACGCAAGCTCGTTCCGATGCAGACATCACAGCTGCAGGCAAGAAACCTATGACTGGTGCTGCTGGCCGCGACAGGCCATAAGCTGCAGACACCGCAAGAGCTTGCCTTCAGGACATTTGGACGTTCTAGCCTAGCTCCTGAAGCGCGTCACGGGCAAACCCATGTCAGCAACACACTGCTCCGGCCTGGCCGCATCCGTCAGCAAGACTCTGTCAACCACCAAGTCCCATTGGCTCAACGAGTTGAGGGAATTCACCTTTAGCGTGTCAATCTTCCAAATCGTTTCTAAACGGGAAGCAGTATGGAACCACAGCCACTATGGTCGGCCAGGAGGCCAGGCGGAGATCCAGAACAAGATCCAGGCGGATGTATGTGACCCCATCTGCACTTAGTTGCTCCTCTGCAAGTGTGTGACGGAGGCGCTTCAAGCAAAAACACACTCACGTCGTGAATTTTCAAGGGAGACCGAAAAGTTTGATCTTTCAACAAATCACTGCCAGCCTCTGCTGTGAAATCCCGCAGGTTAGAGCCTCCTCCGTCGCTTTCCATGCAGGAGCACGTGGCACAGTCATGCCGAAACTCCGTCGAGGAATCCCAGCCCTTCACAGGCAGGCAGTGAGACTCCTGAGACCAACGAACCTGTCGCAACTGAGGCAAAGACACCGCGCCTGTGCAGTTTGACAATATGGTCCAGATCGTCCTTCAGCCACCGTGCCGTCCGACTGCACGCAGATCGGACGGCTGTCCGGGCAAATGCAGTTTTGGAACCTAAGATGGTCACCATGGCTATCTGCAGTCACAAGACCCGCATTTGCCCAGGCCTTCCCTGTGCTTTGAGAATGCTGAAAAGGCGCGTGTTTGAGGAGCTGAACTTCGCAAAGTCTGGGCAGGGCTTCACCTGCGCTTGCGCAAACCAGCCTCTTCGGAAACGCACTGCTGCTCATGGCCTCGTCAGTGGAGTTAAAGCTCAGGGCTGCCCGGCATTCGCAGTCCAGGCAGCCCGGATCGAAATAGTGCAGATCGCGCTGGCCGTCTGTCCTTTGACCGCTACACTGCACTTACATCTGCGTGAAGTTGCACGAGCACCCTGATGCCTGGAGCACCACCGGATTCCATTCTGGTAGCCTTCCATAGCGCAGGATGCTCAGAAGGCAACTCCAACAAACTGCTTAAAGCTCCGTATCCTGCTATTCTAGGCCTCATGAGCTTCATTTTTGGCCATGAAACTGATGCGACATGATGCGACTGAATGTGGGTCAGATATCCAAACTTCTGGGGGCCATTGCTTCGCAAGGACTTGGCAAATCCGAGGGAGTCGTTGGCTCACATCCCCGTGAATAGAAAATGGCGGCTGCTTGCCGAGGAGCAATCCGGCTTGTCATCCGGACACACACAGTCGCCAGACCAGCCAGGGAGGTTCTCGCGTGCAAACCTTGGGCATTTGACGTTGCCGGAACCGGATGATGATGTCAGCTTGTCACAGATGCCTCAGCTGTGCTGGAGGCTGGACTGTGAGCTAGGACTCGGGTGCCTTGAAGTTGCGGCTAAGCCATGCTAAGCTTGGATATACATCTAGTATGTACGCATTTCTGGTTTGCAAAGGAAGAGCATGCGCTAAATGAGGCGAGGGTGCAATCGATGCAGCTGATCTGAAAAGAAAATTGCGAGCGCCCAGCTGGTGCCACAGGGCATCCAGGGGTAATGCTGCCACCTTCATAGCACACCTGTCACTTCGCAGCCGTAGGCGAGTGTATTCCGGGACAGGCGAGGAAGGTTCGGCCTGCTGGTCTTTGCATCTGCAGTTGCCGCTCCAATCCGGCAAAGTAATGCTGTCGTCGCCAGGAGCTGTCGGACACCTGCTCCGCATCGAAAACTCAAATGCCGCATGACGACAGCCGCTTTCGTTTGCTTTCGCCTGGTGATCCCCTTGCAGACATCGCAGTCTCTGCAAGTCGAGAAAATGCAGTCCGCCGTCTCCAAGCAACTCCTAGCCACTGGCAAGCCCAGCCAGCACTCGTAGCACCGCAATGCACTGCACGAAAGATCACGAAAGCCTATGTGTTGTGTCCTGGGGTCGCACTGGCCTTCTAGCTGCTCCACGCACTCGCATCGAGCACCTGCGCCAGAGTGCTTGCCGGGAGTTTTTCCAAGGGCTGTCTGATGCCGAATGTGCTCGAAAGCTCGTGTCTTTCTGCCCCTGGCTCGTTTTAAACAGCAGCTACTACTTCTTCAACCGCGAAGGCCAGTGACTTCTGCTTCGAAAGCACGTTTGCAAACATCAAGGTGCCAACTCAATATGCAAGGAGCGCCACAATTGCTTGAGAAGTACGTCCACGAGGTCATGCCAGTCGAAGATCGGCAGCCGGCCGTCCCATCTTCATAACCTGAATGGCCCACTGTGCTGACTACTTGCAACCCTTCGAATCTGGAGATGCGAGCTTATGATCCGGGATGTCCACTTCAGCCGGAGAGCACAAAGGCGAGTCGGGAGGACAATGGCAGTCTCCAACACTGTCGGCATAGCCACGGCTGGCAAAAGATGGACATGACGCACGGCACGAACAGCTGTCAGGCGCACATCCTGCAGCACAGACTATAGACACGTCAGGCAAAACACTATTGGTCCTTCGTCAGTTGTAGCTTAAGCCATAAGCTTTTCTCGTGCCTGCCCCAAACGCTGCAGCTGAGGCAGACTCTGGCTGCACATGGCCTGCCAGCCACGTTCAAATGCCACTCCGGTCCCAACCGCTGCAAGAAAGCCAGGAAAGCTAGGGGCAGCCTTGCCTGCAAGACAGCCAAGATCTTCACCCGGTAGGCGCACACACAGAGGTCTCTCGTCCGGGCAAAAGCAATTGCCTCAAGGACTGTGTCCGATGTGCTTCTCAGCTTGAAGGAACTGCTAAAATGCTAGAACTGTCAGAACTATTAGGACATGTAGGAGCCAATGCCTGAGGCATCAGGTGCAAGCATCACTTCTTGCGCACCATCTGCGGTCGAACAAGTGGTCTCCGAAGGACCTGTAAAGAGTCGAAAGGTGGCGAACCACGCAAGGTAGGAGTCATGGCAAAAACCAGAGCCAGAATCCAATTCGGAAGAAACTCTCCCACTCATCGATCATCGTACAAGAGGGGAGCCCAGCTGCCTGCAAAAGATGTGCTCCTGCTTCCGGCATCTTGGGACTCTTGACAAATGCAGGATTCGCAGTCCACCTTTGCTGTCACGAGTGACCAAATGCTGCAAGCCCCTGACGACGTTTTACAATTCCGAGCTACAGCGAAGTAGTGCAGGTCCAATCTGCCATCAGAGCGATGGCACATCTGCCGGCCGTCCTCCCAAAAAGATCCGCAAGTCAAGGGCTCTGGAGTCGGATGAGCGAACCCAGCTTGTCAGCTTAGCTGGCACACCCTGAAATCTAAAGCGAAATCTGGTCCGAGAACTTGAATCAGGGATCTCATGCACACGCTCAGCCAACACTCAGCCAGCTTCCAACCGCCTGGCCTTGCTCAACCTGAGACTCGGTCCTCGAAGCAGTAGGGCACGCTGTCGTGACATTGGCAGTCTTTCGCAATGTCCGGCAGGGCTTGCGTCGCGAATACCGGACAGCTCCGGTCCTTGGCCGCAATCCGGCTGAAAGCTTTCGTCTGGGCCTGTAGTTGTTCAACGATCCAATATAGCACCTGGAGATGTCGCACAGGCGGAGCCATGCCACCAAGCAAGCTCAGCCGCCATGTGATCGGATGACGAGGGCAAGGGTGAAACTATATCTGAAGAGTCAAGCTAGGCAGCTAGACCATGTTCATGCTCGGCCGCTCGGCTCTAGGAGCTACAATGCTACGAAGAACGCAGAGACTGTTGACGCTTTCCTTGGCAGCCCTACCCAACGACTGAGACATCTGACTTACAAACTTGAGGCAAGATATACGTGGTGATTGTCCCAGTCGAATTGGGTTCCATCAACGTCAAAAAACACTGCGACTGCCCACGCACCGCGATCGTGCTAACAAGCCGGAAGTGTCCTTGTCCTTAGCTCTGCTTCTGCTTTCGTGTTTGCCTGGCACTCCACTGCGGTTGCAACAGAGCTGACCCAATGCACACTGAACTGCATCATCAGCTTGGCCAATTATCCCTCGCACCGTTTTCTTTCTCCTTCTTCTTGACATCCTGCAGCTTTGAGCTTGAGCCCATGCGCCACTGGCAAGCTCTGGTCTGCGAGACATCCTCCTCCCCCTTTTTTGCCTTCTCAGCTTTTTCCCACCTCGCTTGGCACTGCACTCCACACCGCCCGGTGTGCAATGAGTGCAGACGGTGCTCAGCGGCAAACTCCTCCACTCGCGGCCGTATCTCATCCATGCGCTTCCGAACCTTTCAGGATCAACAGTCGCTCATCCCAGAGCATGGAGGCTCTTTGTCTCAGCTTGCCACGATCGTGTAAGCTTCATGTATGCGGAACCTGAGTGAGGAAGGAAGCTTTACAAACTGGAGCAACGCCGACCAAAACTATCGCATGATGCCCTGATAAGGAGGAATCTTTTCGTGTACGGCTTTCCCAGCATCGCCTTCGTACACTGTGCCACACACCTTTCGGCACAAGCAAAAACTGTTCGCGTTGCATCTGCCTGCACGGTCTCGCGGCTTCCCGAGCACGGCAGCTCGTGCAGTCTTGTCATGTTGTGAGCGCGCCCTTGGCTTTTTCAGTCCATGCGCCGTCTCGTGCACCGTCTCAGCTCGCGGAGCGGTGCCCTCGCCATCACGAAGCTAAGTACGAATCACAAGCAGAGTTTGCCTTCGGCAGATCTGGAACTTGGCAAGGAATGCGCTCTCGTCAGACTCGACCCCTCAAGCCCTCAGCCATCGAGCAAGAATTTCGCTCTCGTCTTTGTTCCCTCGGCAACTCGCGTGGTGGAGCTGGAAACGCCACCTTGGCTAAGGTTTTTCGTGATTATTAGGGCGAGCGGAGGTTGACATGCTCATGCATGCTCCATCCGTTCTCAAACTGCGCACCACAGAAGAATCACCTGCAGCATCTCCAGGTCGTGACCAGGTGGCCTTCGCAAACTCTGCAGGGAGCTTTTCTTCAGGCCAGCGCAATGAAAGACTGTAACATGGGTCGTCTGCCTCTGCAGTGTCCGCTACAAGCCGCAGGCCACCTTCCAAGCGCAGTGTTGCGCTGCTGCGCGGCTCTGTGAGCCGACCTGCAAAAGCGACTCCAACTGACAGAGCTCAGCGCGGCCCTTCAGGAATCTTCTTGAGTCGCTATGCCAAACTGTGCACGGAGTCAGCCTATGAACTGCAACTGCACCCGGCCTAGCTGGCTGACCTCTTGCCTGACCTGTGGCCAAGACAACCAACCAGCAAAAGCGCTGTGCTCATGCAAGCATCATCAAGCTCATCCCTGTAACGCTGCCCCCTGAACAAAGCAGCAAATCTCCCTAGGCCACCTTCAATGCGGTCACCACAAGCGAAACAGGAACTGGCTTTAGCGAACTGCAAATCTCGAGTCTCATGAACTGGGTCAGTGAGCATCAGATTTGAGAGCCCTTTCAAGGGGAATGGGTGCTCGCCCTCAACGCGAGGGAGCGGCCTTGGCATGCTGCAGCCACGCTTCCAGAAAGTCAGGCGGCGGCAAGTTCTTGACGTGTTCCTCCAAGAAGGAATCCTTCTCAGCTCCGAGAAAGGGAAGACTTGCCCCTCGAAAGGCTACAAGGCAAGCTCAGATGCAAGTTTTTAAGAAATCAGCTGCTATGCCGCTATGCCTGCCGAGGTTCCATCCATGCTGCCTGATCCAACTGCCGCTTGGCTTCCAACTCGTCCTTGGCCAATCCAAGACACCAGGCACAGAAGAACCACAGTCCTGCCACCCCAAAAACTCCGCTCTTGCCAGAGTGCCGCCATGAGGAGCAGCGCCTGCTCTTCTGCCAAGGCCTGACCCTGCTTGACTGCAAGCCTCAGAAGGACTAAAGTGCTACTCTCGTGTGCTCTCACTTTGTTCTTCGAGACAGAGAGGCTGCACTTGGTCGTAGATGCCATCCTCCAAAGCCTGGGTGGACTCCTGCACAGTAACCAGACGCCGGTCCAGTTCAGAAACCTGCAGGGCAGTGACATCCACTGCATGCGGCACCCAGCTTCCAGCTTCGACCAAGGACCTGCTGGGATTCCACACGCTGCCGATCTGTCAGGACACTGTTTGCCGTGACCGTGCTTGCCTCCAGGTGCAACAATATCGGGACCAACTCAGACGTACTCTCTCGTAAGACTGCTCCCCATTCCACCGGCCTTCAGCGCATGCTGATATGCTTCGCGGAGGTTGACGAGACGGTGCTTTTTGGCTTCTCCTGCGAGCCAAAGCTGGGGTATGCTTCAGATCTCGTAAAGCCTGTCGGACGCTACATGACCAAACCAATCAAGCCAGTTCTAAAATTCTGAAGGACCTGCGAGCCTGCACTGTGGCTCCCAAGCTTGCGGCAATGCTGGCACACTGGAACTTTACATTCCTGGGTGCTTTGGGCTTAGAAAGTTCCGTCTCGTCGCTGTCGCCGAACACAGCCGAACACATGAAGCCAAACGCAGGGAAGCATCTGTGCAGTACATGTCCGCCTCGGATCCTGCATGATCCGGACAACTTCCCAGTGGTGCATTGGGACGTCGATTGATGTCCACTCGGATGTGACGGGCCGCCAGCTTGTTCGCCGAATGAATCCGGCTATCGCACGGTCTGCAAAAAATTGCATCATCTGCTTCGCAGTAGACCTCAACTCTGACTCAAGAGCCAAGGCAGTTACTCAGTTACTCCTGTCAGGAAAGCGGCCATCGCGGCTTGTAGACCACAGTGGTCACACAGGGGAAGATTGAGCAGCTCTGGCATTTCTGGATCGAACTCGAAATGCACCAAATACACAGGAAGCGCCTGACAAACAAAGTGACTCGTACAGGATGGATGCCCCTGCACTCTGCCATACCCACACAGTAGCCACCTGCGCAGGATCTTTGACCATGTACCTTGACTCAGTCTTCACGAAATTACGTTCGCAATCTCCTCCCAGCGGAGCAACATACACATTATGAAACGTCCAAGATACTCATGATGCAGAACATGCCGGGGCAGGACACCTGGATACTCTTCATGTATCACCTGCTCATTCGCAGGGCTGTGCCGCGTGAAGAAGCTGTCGTACTCCGGCGGCAGGGCCAATGTTTCCTTCATTCATGCAACAGGTGCTCCCTACACGCATGTTTTGGCAATTCTTGTCGAGAGCTGCTTCTGAGGTTCTGCATGTGACGGGTTGTCAATGAGATACGAGCGCCCAGCACCAAGGCGACAGAGCAGAAACTCCTTCCAGCGAACAAGGTAAGCGCATGGCTCGTGTATGCGGCAAATGCTGTTCGAGTTGCGTACAAGCGACGCCCCGCAGGCAAAGACCTGTGTGCCACTTCTGCAACATTCGGCACAAACCTCTGCAATGCTGCTCCACGCAGTTTCAGGGGTATCTCAGTTGCCAGCCTCCCGCGGCTCTTCACATTGTGGCCACGATCATTGCCACCCCGGTCGCGACCGTCACTGTAGAGACTGTCACGGTGAAAGTTTGGGGAGAATCGGGGAAATGCATTTACCTCCAACTTCAAAAGGTTGAGATCCTCGTGGGCTGGCCTTGGAAGCTGCAGGTTGCCAACGTGGAACGACACCTCGGTGACATTCCCCAAGATGCATTGGACACGTGAAGCCCGAGAGCTGCGAGCTCAAAACCGCACCAGTCTTAAACCAAGCTACGCCAGTGTGACCAGCCTTGAAGCCGTTTCTGCAGATATCCTCACGATTACACGTGGCCAGTAGCTCGTTCTCCCACTGAATGCGTTGGAAAATTTCGGCAGCCAGCCCTAATGTGATTGCCAACTGTTGTTGTGGCGTGGTGTGTAATTCTACTTACTGCTGCTGTTGCTGCTGACTACTTCTACGACGACGACGACGACGACGACGACGACGACGACTACTTACTACTACTCAACTAGTGTTGCTACTACTACTGCTACTGCTACCACCACCCACTATTACCATTGCTACAGGTACTGCTACTACTACTACTACTACTACTACTACTACTAATAATACTACTATTGCTACTACTACTGCTACTACTACTATTACTACTACCACCACCACTACTACCATTGCTACAACTACTGCTACTACTACTACTACTACTGCTACTACTACTACTACTACTACTACTACTACTACGCTGCTGCTACTGCTACGCCTACTGCTACAACGCTACGACTACCGCCACCACCATACCACCACCACCACCACCTCCACCACCACCACCACCACCACTACTACTACTTCTACTACTACTTCTACCACTACCACTACTACTGCGACTGCGACGACGGCTGTGACTGCGACTCCAGTACGACCCTCTCCGAGAACTACCAACCAAACCCACCCATCATAAGTGCTGCTGCAACAAGCTAACTTACTAGTTACTTGCCTGCCTGCCTGCTTACCTACCTGACTGTCCAACTATCCGGATACCTAACTGCTCCGGGCCCAAAATCCAAAAAAAAATCTTATGACTATTATTACTATTACTACTATTACTACTATTACTACTATTACTACTAGTACTACTCTGCCGACCCCCTTGGGCGGCGCCCAGTGCTATCCCGCGAGGTTTTCCGGTTCTTGGGCAGCCACCGTCTGCACCCTCACCACCCACACCCTCACCGCCCCCACCGCCCCCAGCACCCTCACCGCCCACTGTCTGCGCCCTGGCCACCCCACCCCCATCGCCCCTAGTGCCCCTATGTGTTTAGAGTATTTAAAGGCTGCCAATGCGTGTCCGGACCCCCCCGCACCCTCATCAGCCACACCACCCCCCCCAGCGCCCCCACTGCCCCTGTGTGTTTAGAGTATTTAAAGGCTGCCAATGCGTGCCCGACCCTCCGCACCCCCACCACCCACACCACCCTCACCGCCCGCCCCCAGCACCTTCACCGCCCACTGTCTGCGCCCTGGCCCCACTGCCCCTATATGTGTTTAACCCCACCCCCATCGCCCCCACTGCCCCTATGTGTTTAAAGCATTTTAAAGGCTGCCAATGCGTGCCCGGACCCCCTTGCACCCTCACCACCCACACCACCCCCACCACCCTCACCGCCCCCAGCACCCTCATCGCCCACTGTCTGCGCCCTGGCCACCCCACTCCCAGCGCCCCCACTGCCCCTATGTGTTCAGAGTATTTAAAGGCTGCCAATGCTTGCCCGGACCCTCCGCACCCCCACCACCCACACCACCCTCACCGCCCTCACCGCCCTCACCGCCGCCAGCACCTTCACCGCCCACTGTCTGCGGCCACCCTACCTCCATCGCCCCCACTGTAAAGGCTGCCAATGCGTGCTTCTCGGACCACCCTTACCACCCACACCACCCCCACCACCCCTAGCACCCTCACCGCTCGCTGTCTGCGCCCTGGCCACCCCACCCCTACGCCCCCCCAGCGCCCCCACTGCCCCTATGTGTTTAGAGGATTGCAAGGTTGCCAATGCGTGCCCGGACCCTCCGCACCCCCACCACCCACACCACCCTCACCGCCCTCACCGCCCCCAGCACCTTCAGGGTTTAGGGTTTAGGGTTTTAGGGTTTAGGGTTGAGGGTTCGAGGGGTTTTTTTTCCCTCTCGCATTGCAGAGAACTATGCTCACGGCGAGGTTTGTTGGGTTGTACAGTGGATGCAGTGATTAAGCAACCAACATTTTCATCGTTCACCACAGTTCAATCAGATGCCAAG